GTATGCAACACATAAAAATTCCAAAGGCATTCTTTTCAAAAAGAGAAAAAGAGCCTTAAAATTCATATGGAAGAAACTTAGGGGATAATTTATGTGGTAAAGGGCTTGCTTTGCAAGCATGAAGACTTTAGTTCAATACTCAAAGGTCACATAAAAAAAGCAAGTCATGGTGGTATATGCTTGCAATACCCTACCTGGGGAGGCAGAGCACATAAAAATTCCAAAGGCATTCTTTTCAAAAAGAGAAAAAGAGCCTTAAAATTCATATGGAAGAAACTTAGGGGATAATTTATGTGGTAAAGGGCTTGCTTTGCAAGCATGAAGACTTTAGTTCAATACTCAAAGGTCACATAAAAAAAGCAAGTCATGGTGGTATATGCTTGCAATACCCTACCTGGGGAGGCAGAGACAGGTGATTCCTAGGACTTACAGTTCAATTCGTGTATCAATCTGCAAGTTCTAGAGCAGTGAATGACCCTGTCTCTGAAAAATGTGAATACTGTTTGAAGAACAACATTCAAGACTGTCATTTGGCCTCAGCATACCTACATGTACATGTACCCTACTTACATATATGCACTCCTTCCCACAGACACATATCCACACACATGAACATATGGAGAGAGAGAGAGAGAGAGAGAGAGAGAGAGAGAGAGAGAGAGAGAGAGAGATCATGTGAAAGCACAAATGATCCTGGAGACCCAAAACAATCCTGAGCAAAAAGATCAATGAATGGAGTATCATCATGCCTGATAGAAGATGATGAATGAACACATGGAAAAAAATTTAATGTCACTAGCTATTAGAGAAATTCAAACTCAAATTCCACTGAGGCTCCAGTGGGGATGGCAGTCATTAAGTAAATAAATAACAACAAATACTAGCAAGTATGCACAGTCAAATACTGCTGCTGGGAATATAAACTAGTCAAGTCACTGTTGAAGTCAGGTTGTAGGAGCCTCAAAATCTAAAAATAGATCTACCAAATGGCCCAGCTAAATCATTCCTGGATATCTACTCAAAGGTCTTCAAGTAAATACAGCACAGAGCTACTCTCACATCAATGTTTATTGAGGCACTACTTATGATTACTAAATGATGGAACCAATCTAGGTGTCAAAGACAGAGGAATGAATAAAGGAAATACAGTATATACACAATGAATCTTTTTAGCCTTGAAGAAGATTGAAATTATGTTGTTTGTAGGAAAATAGAAGAAACTGGAGATAATCAGATTAAGAAATTTAATAGGTCTTAGAAAGACAAAACATATTTTTCTCTTATTTGTGATTCTTATATTTTATAGAGATGTATAAACTTATGTATGTTTGTGGGACATCAAAGGAGACAAAAATGTCTAAGGGAAGAAAGTGGAGTAGTGGGGGGAGGAGGGGGAGAAGGGGAGACAGTAGAGGGGGCATGCTCAAAATGCATTATATTTTTGGAGAGAAATGTTCTTATGTAAACATTACTGTGTACAATGAATATACACAATGAAAGTTTTAATTACAAAAGAGCATTAAGTTCTGCCCAATGCTGAGAAGCAAAACTGGAACTTAATTCCACCTCAGAAATCAAAGTAGCATTGTCCATTATTTTAAGTAACGAAGTGGTGCCAAGTTATTTAGAGATATGCATGGCTGCACAATACACTTTAAATGTGTAATTTGGATGGAGAATTTCCATTAAATATTAACTTCACTGGAATCCCATAAATCACAGTTAAGCAATTCAGCTATGAGAGTTTGTAACAGAGATAAATACTGCATTCAAAGGACTCATTACAGTTCACAATAAGCTCAGTTGCCACTGGACTGATTTGCTTGAGCGCTTTCTACTCCTGTTTTCTTCATGGCTCATACATTTGTGAGATCTACCTCCAGTGAATCTAGGTTTTTACTGCATTTAATAGTTTGGGAAATTGGCATGCACAGATTACATTAAATTACAGTGCTTAAAAACTATGTTTAGGTTCTTTAAGTAGAATTTTACTACTAATTCTATAAGTGAAAAACTATTTGGAAAATATGGCATTTTAAGAAAGATACCAGATACATCTTTTGTAAGTGAAAAAGAGGAGGCAAATATTATTGATAAAATGCAAGTGAATTGTACATTTTACCTTTGTGGCTCAAGAATTCCACCTCTGAAAAGAAATCAGCCAGCTTTAGGATTTCAAATCTTTTATAACTACAAACATCATTGTTTTTGGAAAAGTATATAACAATTCTTGGAAGGAAAATAGAACTTTAAGCACTAACTTTAAGTATTAGTTTTAGGGTTTTTTTTTTTTTTTACGGAAAAAAAATCCTAAAACTAATACATCTATTTGCTTCAGGAGGAAAGCCTAAATTTCATATGAGCATATCTAGAAGTACCAACCAGAGTATGAGTGTTTTTAATCTTAATTGTGATAAGTTTTTGATTTTTTCATTTTTAATGTTTTTATTGAGGTTTTGTATATTTCATATAATACATCTTAATCAAATTTGGACTCCCTCTCCCCTCCCCAAATGTACCACACACTACTAATCAAAGAAGCTTCTTTTTGCAACAGAGGGAGGCGATTGCAGAGTTCCACAACTGGTCACACACAGAGAATATATGTCTGAGAGATGCCCAGCCCTAGGTGACACATCTACAGTGGAACCTCTATACCTAAGGCTCATGGAACATAAAAGAACAGGGGGTAGAGAGAATACTAACACATCCCTCACTCTCATCAGTGAAGCTTCCTCATACAACAGAGTGTGATGCACACAATGTCACAACTGCCTAAGTTTTAGAGAATAAGAGACAGCAGAGTGCATGTCCCTGGGTAAGAATCCTCTATAAAAACCTCAACCACCCATGGCTCAGGGACCATTGCAGAAGACGGAGTTGAAAGTTTTTAAGAGCCAGAGTTGGTACATGAACATAAGGAAACAGAGACTTTCAGGCTACTGGAAAGTTGTTCATATGAGCTTGTAGCAATGCTGAGAGCATTCACAAGACCCTTGCCAACTGAATCAGACAAAAACCCAGCATAGAACAGGGGAAATGGTTAGCAGACCCCAACCCTAACAAAGACTAATGGCAAATGATTACTGTGGAGTTTTAATGGCAGAACTCTATACTTCAAAGCCATGATATTCTTGTTTAAATGTTTGTATCATTTAGGGTAAAGAAAATCCATAGATTCCATCAAATACAGTACAATTTCAAATGACTACAGAGAAGATAAATTACAGACTAAATGGAGAGAATTGTTTATCAAATGCAGCAATCTTCACACTTTGACTAACAGAAGAAGGAGAGCTATAAAATGTTTCAAGATACTATTTCACTGGTGGCATGAAATGTCTACAGATGGTGGCATCAAGACTGAAATGGTGATTCTACTGTTCAATAAGGACATGCAGAGAATTGCTGTAGCAAAATGCACCTTGGCAAAATACCCCTTTAAGAAAAACTTCTGCTTCCTAATGATCCACCAAGGAAGGGATCACCAGCTATCTAAGCAAACTGGCCAGAATGTACGGCAGCCTGTGTGCACCTGCTGTGTGTGCCTTGATCCCTGGCATAGCTTCTGTCCATATGACTGCCAACATAGGGTCGTGGTGGTTTGTCCTGTGTCAAAATTCTCCATAATTAATTATTCCCACTCATTCCATTTTAAGAACCAGCTTTGTTAAGTCCAAAATTTATATACAGAAGTATGTAATGAACTAAAAGTCATATGCAGATCAACACACTTTTCAATTTCTCTCTCTCCCTCCCTCCCTTTCTCCTCTCCCTCCTGCTTCCTCTCCTTCTTTCTTCATTTTACTTTCCTTCCCTCCCTATCACCTTTACCTTCAGAAGAAGCTAAACAGGGAAGGAATATATTAAAATGCAAAACTTACTGTATACATAGGATCATAGGCTATTTATTCAAATGCCTATGATACAGCTAAGCTGTCAGGTAAAGGACTTCTGTTAAATATTTGCTGAGGTTTTTACTAGGGAGAAAATGGGTTTGACTGCTAATTTTAAGTGTTCATGAGAAAATGCAACCCAAGGGTGTTCTATATCTTTCTCAGAGAACAGCTGCTTATAGCTCTGTGCAAACTACATACAGTGTATGTGGACAGAGCTCATGAGTCCAGCCTCAGTATCAGATCAACTTTCTGTGTACCATTTTTTTCTTTCCATCCTATGGGTGTCTATAGAAAGCTTTCCCTAGAGCAAGACATATTATGTTTCCGTGTTTAAGATTCTAAGGAATATTTTTGAAAAATGTATGTCTACAAAAGAATTCCCTGAAATTCCCAATGCACTTTAAAGATTTTTCCTCTTAACAAAGACAAAATTGATGCCTGTTTTCCTGTGGCTTCTGCCCTCATGGATAGAGACTTTGACCTGTATATTTAAACTTGGTACATAGTTGCCCTCATTTTGTCCATTGATTACAGTGTCTGAAGGGCTGGAGATTACAGGTTGAGGATATCATTATATAAATTATTCTTTCTTTAACATAAGTCATCCCACTTTCATAGGAGGAAAGGTTATATGCAGGAAAAGCTTCTCAAAAATTATGAGCTTTTCACCTGGACACAAAGAAGGGTTATATCAAAGGCTATCTTTTGTCTTCATAGTTCTGTTTCTGATGTGTGCCTGTACCTATTTACCTGGTCCGTCTCCTGTTATTGTCCCAGTGAGCATGTCTTATACCCACCTGGTGGAGTGTTACCTCTACTGGAACACTCCAGCAGCCCACCCTGCTGTCTTCAACTTAACTCTGTTGTCCAACCATTTTTTTAAAAATAAGACAAACAAGGTTTTCATTCCAGCTGGCATTAGTGTCCAACTCTGAGTCATTTTCTGTCCCTGACCATCTGAGTGTCAAGAGGAGGTTCTGTTTCTGGTTCACAATTGCCTGATATGTGACCATTCTGAGTTACCAGAGAACCAGCCCTGTCATAGGAATATACTTCTATTCTCTATGTATTATAAAGTGATGAATGCTTAAATTGCAGACTTTAAAGTGGGATAAAAATGATAAAAATATATAAAAGATTTTGATGGAGCTATGACAGAAAAAGACAAAGAAAACTAATTTTTTTCAGATTGAGAACTCAGACTTGGTTACTTTTTTGGCATAAACTTTGTATGAAAGAAAAAAATCCATATTGTTGTAAGGAAATGCTCTATACATGTATTGGTATGATAGTAACATGACTGTATAGTTGTTAAAACTTGGTGAACTTTGTACTTTAAAAGAATGAATTTAACATTATGTAAAGCATACTTTAAAGAAAGTCTAAAATTCATAACAAATGTGCTATAAAATAGTGTCTGTGTTCGTTATTATTTCTACCATAACTTGATGTTTTTTCCATTTAAAAGTTAAAAGTTAGCTGGAGCTATAGAGATGGCTTAGAGGTTAAGAGCACATACTGCTCTTGCAGAGGACCAGAGTTCAGTTCCCAGGACCCATGTCAGATGGCTCATAACTGCTTCTGGCCTCCACATGCACCTACACTCATATGTGCATACCCAACACAGACACACACACACACACACACACACACACACACACACACACACACACACACACAAATGTAATTACAAGACTGCCACAAGATCGAACTAGCCAAAATCTCAACACAGATGGGATGGGGCTTAAGGAGCTCCATCCTTAGCTGAGGAGCCATTGGCAACTGATAACTGCTTGGGGAGGGAGGGTCAGGAATTTTTCAGGGATGCATCGCCTGAGAGACTACCTATGCTCCAGTAGATGACCCTCCATTCATGCACACACAGGTAGCACTAAATGTATTCTGCACTTCTTCTTCTTTTTTTTAAAGAGCTCATGAAGTTTAGAGGGAAGAGTGGTGGGATGCATTGGAGAGGAATTGGAGGGAAGGGAAAAGGGATGAATTTTATAAAAAACATTCATGTGTAAAATTCTCAAGAAATAATAATAATTGGTTTATTAAAAGTTAGATTTGCACAAATTTCATAAAATTAATAATTAAAGAAAACCAAATTACAAAGAACTAAATTATATTTGAAGGTATTGTGTCTGTGGTTATTAAATAGCATTCTTTAGACTCGTTTGGTTCTGTCTCTGTCTCTCTGTGTGTGTCTCTGTCTTTCTGTCTCTCTGTCTCTCTTTCTTTGTGGTGTTGGGTATAAAACTCAGGGCCTTGTTCATGCTAGGCAAGTACTTTTTACTGAGCTATATCCTCAGTTGTTTCTTGATATTTCTCTATTTTAATTTTCACATGTCCAGCTATTGACAAAGTATCACTTCTAAACCTTCCATCCTCTTCTATAATCAAAATATTTTCTCAATCAACACATTGCAAGCACTATGATTTTTCAGTGGTTAAAGTCTAGTAACAATATAGTGCTAAATTAATCTCATTCTGCTTACTCTCAGTATCTAGGAACATTATTAGAGTTAATAATATATAATTTAAATTTTAAAGTGAAAGTTGTTTTTGTCTTTGAAATGGTGCTGCTGATGTTACTAGATCGGTTTTATGTTTATAATCTATAGACTTTCTGAAACAGCTATTTCTGCTAGAAAGCATATGTACAGAGAAAAATAAAGTTTGAATCTTCCTTCTAAACAACACACATACACACACACACACACACACACCACACACCACACACACCGCACAGACACACCATACACACCAAAAAAAGTAAGATTGTCTTTATAGTCTATACATTGGAGCAAAACCTAAGGTGTCAAACTCATAGTATAACTTACTCATTTCCATAAGCAAAGTTGTATTCAAATCGTGTATCAGCACTTCTAGTAATCTTGCCATTGTCTTGGTACTTGAACTTTAGACCAATATAATTTGCCAGGGATCCTTTGTATGCTAGACACAACTACATAAAAAATAGGAATCAGTAACAATATCTTACTTTGTATTCAACAAATACAATCCAAATCAACAAATATTTATTGAGCATTTTTATATGAAGTTTATCATGACACAGACAAAGAAATGGTATATTTCAACCAGCTAGAGAACTGAGGAAGACAGTGCCCCTTATAGAAGAGGGAGTGAAGCTGGAGTGACCTCACATTCAGTAAGTTCTTTGTTTATGTGGACATCGTTTCCTTTACTAATGGAAACAGTTCACTCCCTATGGAGGTAAGCTATCACTAGCTCTAATTAGATATTATGCATATAATTTTTCTAAACTTCTGAGATAAATTAGAGCACATGGTGCTATGCTTCCTTCTTGTCCTCTCTCTTTCCCTCCCTCTCTTCTTCTCTTCCTTCCTTCTTTTTTTCCTTAAGAATCACCAGAAGAAATCACAAGATTCAAAATCAGAATCATTCTTCCTGTCTAAACATGACATGATTCAAAATGGCAAGCACTTCTCCTTGTCTTCAAATTTCATGAAATTTTATTACCAAGGTATTTTCCAGATTCAATTACCATATAATTTTCATGAGCTTACCTGATTATAAGGAAATAATAAAATGTCTCCATATGGTAGTTTGTTTGGTTTAACATCTGCTGAATCAAAAAGAACAGCTGGGTTTTTCAGGGAATAACGACCGCAGTAAGCATCTGTCTCAGCTGTTTTCTCCCCTCTATTAACATTCTCCTAAAGAAACAATCATATTTTAAATGAAAATATGATTTATTGTCTTGCTGTTCTCCCCACATTAACTAAGTTACTCAAGTTCCAATGCAGAGCCCATTATTTCCTAAAGTATTTTAACTTGAAATGTTCATTCCCTTCTCTGAATTCTTCACATTTTCATTCAGACCCCTAATCATATAATTCTTTGTGCCTGTAAGTGGTTATTTTCAAAGTCCTACTGTTTTTCTTATATTGCAAGCTCCTTAGGGATATTTATTTTTTTCTTCTGATTAATTTTTGTTCAATATTTACTATGTGCCATGTTTTTGTTTAATTTTTCATAATTCACGTAATGAAACACTATCCCTATATAAAGGAGCTACCACTTTAGGAAAATGGTATAAGGATCATATTACTTTTTAAAAAAATTATTTTACTTATTATATTATTTTATGTGTACGAATGTATTGCCTGCATGTATGTAAGTGCTCCCATGCCATGCAATACCCACAGAGGTTGGAAGAAGATGTCGGATCCCCAGAACTGGAGTTATGGACAGTTATTAGCTGCCATGTGGGTGCTGTGAACAGAACTGGGGTCCTCAGCAAGAGCAGTTAGTGCTCTTAACTTCTGAGTCATTTCTCCAGCCCCAAGGATCACATTACTCTTGAGAAGAGGCATCAAACTCATACAAAAGCATCAAGAAAAATGTCCCAGTGAAAATGACAGATGAGTTTATTTTTAAAGATTAAACAAAAGTTGTTCAAGTCAGTAAAAGGGCCAATAGGCTTCAGAGGATAAAAACAATAAAAATCTTTGCAAAATAGTGACGTCAGGAAAGTGAGAAAATGAAAATAGCTAAGGTCAGGTAGAATATAGAAATGCATGTTGCAGGACTGGATAGATGCTACAGTGGTTAACCGGCTACACTTGCAGAGTACCCAGATTCCATTCTCAACATTCACATGGTGGCTAACAACCACATGTAACTCCAGTTCCAGTGGATCCGAGGCCCTCTTCTGACCTCCATTGGTATTGCATGACACAGGTGCACTTACATGTATACAGGTAATACACTCAAACACATAAAAAATAAATAATAAAAAATATTTTTAAAATAAAATACATGCTGGGATGGTGATAGGAGATATGGAGGGAAGAAGTGAGGTGTAAAATAATCCTCATGATCAATAGTATTGCATCAAGGCACACATATATATTAAGTTGAGAAGGTTGCTAATCAAGCTGAAAATTTTCCATTTTTATCTCTGATAAATGTACCCATGAGACATACATGTGATATATATTTTAAAGGTTCTTCTAGAATCCTTCTAAAGTATTGACAGTTGCTTCTAGAGTATTGATCTCAATGACATATCTAAACTCTATATTTTTGTATTCTTGTATATGTGTGTGTGCATGCCTGTATGAATTGTGTGTGCATGTTTATGTTAAGGATGCACGCATGCCACAGCACATGTGTGGAGGTCTGAGAAGAGCCTCTGGTGTCAGTCCTTACCTTCCACATGGTTTGAGACAATCTTTTGTTTGCTGCTGCACACACGGGGGCCACTGAGGATTCTGATATTTCCACCTCCCATCTCTCTATAGGAGTCCTGGGATTATAGATGCATGCTACTGTGTCTGGCTTTGCCTAGGTCCTGGGGATCTTAACTCAAGTCTTCATGCTTGTACATCAAGTCCACTGAGCCATCTCCCCATCCCTATATTTCTTATTCTTACAGTGTCATTTGGAAATGGTGCATATCTAGCTCCAGTCTTCACAATCATCTTGTAATGTGAGATGTAAGAACAGGCATTACTAGTAAATCTATAATAAAACTGCTTTTGCAAATGACTTAGAACAATAAAATGACTAATGTTAGTTCAAGAAAAGAAACCACAAAATTCCAAACACTTATGTGAAGTTTTAGTTAGTCAGTTTCAAAGTTCATTCAGCATTCCATACCAGGTCAAAATCAGTCTCATAATCCCTGAAATATTTGACTAGGAATCCTTCTTTGAGATGTGCGATTTCTGGTGGGCACTTAGTGCTAACCATCTCTTCCACAGCCATCTGAAACTGGAGGAACAACACGCACTTCAGTAATTTCCTTGTCAGGACCTTAGGACATCAATAATTTGACTATTAATTTGGACAATTAACTTTCTATCAAAATACTTTCACAAGGCAATTCCCATGTTAGCTGTAATTATGATAATTTATCCATAATGTCCTAAATTTTTTCAAGTTAGCACATGATTGTTTAGTGTCCATTGATCTTTTTAAGGGTTTTATTTTAGAATCATTATGTCCAATTGGCAATTATTACCTTATTTTTGTATACTGTAAACATTTTGTTTAGTAGTGTTTTAAAGAGAACAACAAAGAAAATCTAAATGAATTGTTGCCCAATTAAATTAATTTCAAATAAAGCATTTTTCTCAATAAACTCAAAGTTAACCAAGAAAAAAACCTATATGCTCAGATGTATTCTATTACAAAATGAGTTGCAAATACTGTAAGCCTATACTTAATGATTCTCCAAAAGCATGAAATATTTTGGACGAAACAGGAATTAGGAGGTATTGATGAGTCACCTAACTTTCATATCTATTTCTCTGATAAACCATAGAAATAATTGTTGCTTAGAATTTTTAATTATTTATTTTCATTTAATGTGTATGAGTGTTTTGGCTGCATGTATATGTGGACCCATGCATGTAATAACAACAGAGGCCAGAAGAGGGCGGTGGATTCCTTGGAACTGGAATTAATGGTAGGTGTTAGCCACCATGTGGGTGCTGGGAACCAAGTACAGGTCCTCTGCAAGAACAGCCAGGGCTCTTAACCACTGAACCATCTCTCCAGCCCCTGTTGTTTAGGATTAAAGGTTTAAAATGGGGTATAATATTTAATCCTCAAGCAAACACTAACTGAAATGCATGGTAGAGGTAAGTTCCAAGATAAGGTAACACATATGCCCTGCCCACACTGCCCAACACAATAGGTCTCGTTGACACAGGTCAAAGAACTCCTTTCTGTCTTTACAGTATTTACTCCCTTCTTTCCTCACAATGATTTAGCCAAGACAGTAACAAAATGAATTGCTTCTCTTTGAAGTAGTCTTTATGTGAGATTAATATTTAGATGGATTTCTGTTTAATAAAATAACAAACCATTTGAATTTTATAACAAAGCCTTTTGCTGTACTCCATCACTCGTTTTTTTTTTTTCCCCATTGTTGTTGTTTTTTGTTTGTCTTTTGGTTTTTTGTTTTTTGTTTTTTGTTTTTTTTGGTTTTTTTTTGGTCTGTTTTTTTGTTTTTTTAACCTCAGTGAAAAATTGGATTTGGGGTGGATAGGGACACAAAGTCTCTACACAAAAGGAGAGCAAGGTTATGGTAACTTTGAAATGGTTTGTAGCAGGATGGGTGGTTATACTAGATTGTTTTTGTGTCTATTAGAGACAGAAATATTTATGACACAGAAATTTTAGTAAATTAACTGATTACAAGTAAAGGATTTCCCCCAATAAACTAAAAATCAATTAGAAAAAAATTCTATGCTCAAATATATTTTATTTTCAAAAGAAGAGATGCACATATTGTAAGCCTATTCTTAACAATATTAGATATTTTGTTTGACTTATTTTTTATTTTTATTTTGGAAACAGGACCTCCCTATAGCCCCAGCTGGCCTGGAGCTCACTATGTAGACCAGGATGACCTCCATCTCACAGAGATCTGCCTGTTCTGCCTCCAGAGTGCTGATATTAAAGGCATGTACCACCTTGCCTAGCTAATACTAAATATTTTGTATTAAACAAGAATTAATATACACTTATGAATCTCATAACTTTCATATCTATTTCTCTGGAAAAGTTAAGTGATCTTCATTGATTTCTTGAAGCAATGTCCTTTCTTATCTGTCTCTAAATAGCCAGCTTGTACTTTCAAAAGATCCAGGGGAACTACATGGTAGAATGTTCCTGGAGCATACTTCAGCTTCTGATGACTGTGCAGCAAGGGGCTTAGATGCAATCCCATCCCAACTCAGTGTGAATGTCTCCAAATTAGGTTTTCCTCTGGTTTGTTCAGTGATATCCAGTGTGACATTATTCCCTTCAAATACTTCATAACCAAGCAAATCAAAGTCTCCTGCAATGAGATACCAACTCAAATATTTAAAAGAAAATTTATAAGACATTCATAAATCTATAACAGACATTCAAATGTGATCAGATTGATTATATTTGAAGTTTCATCAACTCAAAAGAGGAATGGGAAAGATGGAGGCTCCTGCATAAAGTGTCATTTTGAGAGAAATAAAGCCTGGTCCTCCAAAGTTTCTCTTATTTTCAATTCCACTGACTTTCTCTATCGGGTAAAGTCTTAGAATATAGCCAGTTATGATTTTGCTACATATTTGGTAAGGACTCTGCTGAAGCCTCAACATTTTTCTATGATCTACAAGTAGATCAACATGACTAGCCATATTTTCACTTATATAATGTTTTGACAAGCATCAAAATTTCTAGAACGTCAGTTCATGATAAAATTCTTCATCTTCCACTCAATAATCAAATTAACAATTCTGTAATGCAGGACATAAGCACTAAGGTAATATTTCAATTATATGAATTTAAAAATAACAATTTCCACCAGGTGTGGTGGTGCACACCTTTAATCCCAGCACTTGGGAGGCAGAGGCAGGCGGATCTTTGTGAGTTTAGGCCAGCCTGGTCTACATAGTGAATTCCAGGACAGCTGGGGCTGCAGGGAGACCCTGTCTCAAAAAAAAAATTTCCAAAGAAAATATTCACCTACACACACACACACACACACACACACACACACACACACACCCATTGTACTGGCTTTGACTTACCACATGGCCAACTTGGCTGCTAAACTTGACTTAACAGTAGATTGCCTATTTCAATGTTTCAAAAAATGTCTTGTGTGAAGCAGTAACACTAGGTTAAAAATATATCACTTGAAGTACTTTTAAAAGGATGGAAAAATCAATTAAATTTGCATTAAATACAGATAATGATTTGTTTAGCTGCAGGACTCCACAGGGATTCAATATTCTAAAGACCCCTCTCAATCTTCATGGAAGATCCATGGTAGGGAATAGTATCCTTATGAATTTAGCCATATTTCTTTCTTCAAGAAAGATTTGGTTAGGAATTTGTCTCTGAAACAACCCTGATTTATTAAAATTAATTTTCAAAATTAATATTACTAATTTATAAAATTTTCCTGTATTAGCAGTGTACTTGTGCTGCATATATGTGCTCTCACGTGTGGGAGTTATAAATTCCTTGCCAAAGGAAATGAGTACCACTTAATTTCTATGTCTTCTGACATTGCACAAGGTGATGGATCTAAATCTTTTTTATCTTTACCATTTTATGAAATGATTTTATACTGTCATTGTACAGGACAAACAGTGAAATTCAAACTTACCTCTAGTTGATACAAAGGTTATTGTGTAGATGTAGCTCTGGGCATTCCTAGTACTTGTTACTTGAACTGTATCTGGTTTTATAGACCAAAGGTCATTTAAAGCTGATTGTAACCTGAAGTCAGAAGCATCAGCAGGCAGCCAGACTTTGGAAAAATTATAAAAGAAAAGTAGAAAATTGAAATACTTTTAGTCTACCACAGCCCAAATTGATATCTTGTGCTTAATTTTTTAGTTAATGGCTACACTTGATAGCATAAAAGCTATAATGTAGAAAATTGATCCAGTATAGAAATGTTGACTGTTTCATTGATTAGTGATGTTTTTGATAGTAGAGAATACTTTATTGTTTTAATACTGCCACTATAATAAGCATTGTGTTTTGCAAACAATAAGCACTAATCTATATTACATAAGACAACAGGAAAAGCAAAATTTAAGTTTTAGGATTTATTAACAAATATAGAAATGTGTTATTAAACTGATGAATCAATATTTTGTAGATCTACTACTAAGGCAAATTGGAATATGTATTTATTCTCTATAATGATAAATTTTATTCCCATTTTTCTTATACCTGTGAGTCATAGATATGCAAAGCATTTATATGCCTTTCGATGCACATTTATTAACATTTTAAAACAGAATATTATGTTATATGCCAGAAAGTTGTTCTCATGCGATCCAAGTATAAGTCTTCCTTCACAATGCATGTTTCTTCTCGTTTATCTAGCATACTATTGAAATGATATTTTTCAGGCAGTGTCATTGACTAGAGCAAATACTTTATACTTATGCTCATACATAGAGTGAACTGTGCTGGGTTTCTCCTGTAATTTTCTACTTATCTAGATGAACTCTGAACTTCACAAACAGTACGCTGATCAGGAAGGTGGAAGACAAATATGAGGGAGGTACAATAATATCAATAATGTGCATGTGTGAAAATGTCATAATGAAATCCATTATTTTGTGTGTCAACTTACTATTCATAACTTACCAGTTTTTTCCATGTTGTAAGTTAATCTGAATTGGTAAAGTGAACAGGAATTAGCTCCCACACACGGGCTGCTCACTGTGATCTGCTGAACTTCATTGGTTGCATTAGTTGTTTCCCAGTTTTCCAATGTTATAACCTATTTTCCGATGAAAAACATTAATACATAAATGTGCTTTAGTCAATATTGCTATTTAATGCCTCTTCAGTGCTCCACTTTACTATCAATGATAAAATTATATTTTACAACATTTTTAGATATGTCTTACAAAGTAAAAGCTTGATAGGTTTGTAATGCAGATATGTCAAGATGAAACTCAACCACTACATGACTGTATTCCCCTTATACATGTAATCGAGTGAAATCAGTCACCAAATGGAGCAGGTCCTTGTGTGATTACTGCTTCTCAAGGCTAGAAGTTGAACTCAAGGTCTCACAAATGTTAGGCAGACATTCTACCAGTGACCATTCTCCAGCCTTGGACATTCATTGTCAGTAAAGCAGATCTATCATCACAGCAAACCTGTACTTCCGGCATGACGGTTGACTGGGATTTGACAACTTGTTCTTCATTTACTGCATCTCCTGTTTGATTTTCAGTAAAGACATTTCTATACTGGTACAATCCAACATCAACAAAAGCACTCAATCTATACTCCTGCAGCAAAATTTCAATGTAGTATCTGGAAAACAGAATAATGAAGACATTATTTTTCTCCCAAACATGTCATGAAATCTTTTTAAATTAAAAGTCTGTAAAAGTCATTAAATTATATAGATTATATAAAATGGGGTTTAGTACAGGGCTTTGCAGCAGTTTACAAAAATAAAATTGAAGAACATAATATACCCTCATCGTCAGAAACCTGTTCCCATTCAGGTTAATCAATAAATATTTACTGAAGAAGATATTAGCCCCGATGCTCAAGGACCTTAAACAAAATAATATCATAGACTGTAATAATAACTCCATGGAATATAACACCGAGGATAGGAATAAGTTAATGAAGATGTTTAGAATATTCAAGAGTTCGCAGCTAGGCCTACATACATCACACATTTTTGTAGTTGAGTGAATGCAGGAATTGAGGTTGAAAGTCCTTGATATGGTTTGGATCTTCTTGGGTATTTGAAACATTGATGGAGGGCTAACACAACTGGACATGCCTTAAAGTTGACTCTATTTGTAGTTTGAGAATAAGACATTGCCTCAGAACTTTTACTGATTAGGCTGATTATGGCCCTCCAACAAGATAGGTGGAATTCTTCATGCCTCATCCTTAGAATTCTTGATTTTTTTAGAATCTTTGCTCATCATCTAATTTTCTGCTTAGGCTAAGGCATTCACTGACCACCTCTTATACATGAGGGATATTTTTCTTCCCCATCTGGATCGCTATCATGTCTGTCCTTGCTGATGCCACATGGTTGTTCCTATAAATTGCCATGTTGCCAACAATAAGCTCATGGGAGACCCTGAATGAATGAGGGACATTTATCATGACTGGTATCATTGGAGTTTGGGTAGTATCCTTGTTAAAATGATATTGAAGGATTAATACAGGCTCCGAGCTGCCTTAAGAATATGTATACACCTCTGATGAAACAAGGTGGCCAAGACTAATTAAAGATCATGAGACAAGAAGAAATACTAAATTCTGTATCCTTACTTGCAGCTTGATAACATTAACTGGCCAGGCATGGTGATGTACGCCTTTAATTCCAGCACTCGGGAGCAGAGGCAGGGCTAATCTCTGTGAAATCAAGGCCAGCATGGACTACATAGTGAATTCCAGGCCAGCGAAGGTTACAGGGATACCCTGTCTTCAAAAAGAGCCCCCCAAAAAGTATTAACTAAGCATTTGCTGTGTATTAGATACCAAAACTAAGCATTTTGCAGAAATTATTCTGTTTGACTCATGAGTCCCTTATAATAGCTATAACTGTTATTGTTCTTCAAAACAATGAGAGAACAAGAGAATTTTAAGGATTTGATTTCTTTTAAAATTAGTAACCTTACTCAGCACATAAAACAAATCAATGTAGCTGGGCTTGGTGATGCACACCTTTAATCCCAGCACTCGGGCAGAGGCAGGCAGATCTCTATAAATTAAAGGCAAGTGTGGTCTACCCAGTGAGTTCCAGGCCAGCTGGGGCAATAGGGAGACCCTGTCTCAAAAAGACCAAGCTACCAACCAACCAAACAAAACACACGATCATTACCAAAAAACAAAAACAAAAACAAAAAACCGCAAAAAATATCACCATCTTGGTGAAAGACACATGCATCCAAACTGTAGCATCATACAAGTGAAGACAGAAACCATTAACATATAAATAATGCACGTGTGTAGCACTATGCCTAGAACACAGAACATAATAGCACATCTCACAGAATGGCCTTCTCTACAAGCCAGGGTGCCTGATGCCCGTCACCTCATAGCATCTTCAGCATGGTGTGAGGCTGCTACGACTCACCATTTTGCAGGCCAGGAGGAAGGGTGGTGCTGACATTTGGTAACTGATCTAGGGTCACACAACATGGAGGCCAAACTCCGAATCAGGATTTGAACTGAGGGCTTTGGTTTTACCCAACTCTTTCTGGTCTTCCATGGTATCCAAGATGAATGGGAAAGGGACACCCAATGGTCCGGGGCCTGAGTGGCCAGGAAGCTCTGTCAGTAACTGCCCTGCACCTTCCTGAAGTGCCTGTGTGTCACACCCACCTCCTTCCCAGGTTTCATGGTCATCATGGTTTTCTTTACCATGATGGGATCTTCTTTCTCATAACCATCAGCTTTCAGTGGCTGAGCTGTTGGCTGCTCCAGGTGAGTGACATGAAGGGGTAGGATACATCTTTGGGAGCTGTGTGTGGTGGGACTTCTTGTTCCTTGAGGCCCTATAAGGCTAGAGCATAGCTGAGGTCCCATAGGGCAGGGTTGTACAGCTGTCTCGGAGCAGCATGTCTGACTTCCCATCTGGTCCTGACTTCTGGCTTTGCAAAGCAGACCATCACCCATAGTTTTCTTGGGACAACAAGATTTCTGTCCACACGCAGCTCCCCATGAACCTGTGCATATATCTCTTTAGAGACTTTTTCTTATACCTTGGGCCTTCTCAGTGAAGCTTTGTTTAAGGTATGAATAAATAAATAAATAAATAAATAAATAAATAAATAAATAATACATACTATCAGTGATAATACAATTCACATGGTTTCTTTCTCTCTAGCAATTTTTAAGTGCTCAGCTATTGTAACAGAGAAATTAGATTAATGGAGTGACTGAAAAATCAATCGTAAAAAGAATTAAAATCAGTATTAAATAAATTTCACATAATTAGAACTTCTGCAATAGGAATAGTTTAAAATTTAAATTTTACTTGCTTAGTGAATGTCAGTATTCTTCAAAATAAAGAATCAAATGACAAAATCATGGAGAACAACCAATTATAAGTACTTTTGTGGTTCTAGAGATTGAACACAGGGCATTGTGCATGCTCGGTAAGTTCATTATTATTGAGTTACAGCCCCAGTGTTTAAGAATGCTCAATCCCAAGTGGGCAGCCTTAAACACAGGTACATACAAGCACCGATAGATGAACTCAATGCATTATATATGTATGCTTATAAATTATGAAAATGTAATGACAATAATCAAAGAAGAGGATGAGAAATTGAAAGGGAGTGGAGGTGGTATGAGATGAATTGATGGGAGACTGGGAGGGAAGAAAAAAATAATGCAAATACTCATGTATGAAATTCTCAAAAATAAAACGAAGTGTTAGAAAAACAATGATCAATTAAATTAAGTCGATATCTATGCAGAGAAATTAAACTATTGTAAAACATAAGGCTACATTCCTTAAATGCTACATGATAACTTAATGGTGAGAGAAAAATACCCTTACTCTTTTCCTTTCTGCAGATGAATATCATCCGATCTTTGTGTTGGATTCGAAAAATAACTGTTGGCATTAGCAGAGTGATATGCAATCCTCACCTTATCCAAGAAAGAAAGAAAGAAAGAAAGAAAGAAAGAAAGAAAGAAAGAAAGAAATTTATTTTAGTAAACATTTCAATAATTTAATTTAATTCAACAACTCTATTCAATAATTTTTATTTATCACTACTTCAATTTTAGAACATATATGAAAAATGTGAAAATTCATATTTTTCTTCTAAGATGTGATTCATAGCAACATGAATTTTTCCAGTTATGGAGCTTTCATCATTGCTCCAGCCCCCCTAACAGCAGCATCACTACCCAAAGGCTGTTGCACAGATGCTAGCTTTTCCAATAATATAATTGCAGTGGAAAATAAAAAATATACATACTGAAGAAGGGGTTATTGTTGTTGTTATATAAATGGGATTTTACTTTGACAAGAATGTCATTTTATACAAATTATTTCATTACATGCACCCTTGAAAGATGCTAAAACTCACTAAATGCATATGTGAGAGGACTTTGGACTTCTCAGTTCGAATCATTGTCACCTTTTGAGTAAAATGCTGACAAGTAACAGTGAATTCACAAATTGCAAGTAGCAATCTACACATACGAAACAGTGTAGGAAACAATCTTGCCATATAAATTCAGTACTAAAATGTGATTTTTAAATTTGATTTATTAGTTTCATATTTGTGGAACAATCTTGAGGAAATAGTCCAAATTATTAAATGAACAAAGGAATTCAATAGAGTATTATTTGTCATCATAAAACATCAGAAGTAAATTAAAAACTTATTAGTAGGGAGGAAATTAAGTTTAGTAAACTCATGTAGCGCATACTAGTCAGTAATTTAAAAAAAAGGCACTCATTTGTCATTTAGTACTAATATGTAACAAAATGACTCCAAAATTAAGATTCTATTTATAGATTTTAGGTTATAAGATTCTATTTATAATACATAAGATTATATTTAAGATTCTCTCTATGCAAAATCCAAATACTGATTATAAAGTCAGACTGTCATCTAATAACTGAGTAAATGTAAAATAGTAAGAATTTTATTCTTTTTAATATTTCCTACGCTTTGATTATAATTCCTCCACAATCAAGAAAAGTTTCTATTTTAAAGCGTGTGTGTGTGTGTGTGTGTGTGTGTGTGTGTGTGCAAGTGAATATATGTATGTATGTTTCGCTTGGCAGAGAAAATATCAACAAGGGAAATCATTTTATTTCTACAAGAACTTTATAGTTTACATCACACTGTGTAAAAATAGCAAGATCTCAAACTCATTCACTGATTTGGATTAGAATAAATCAGACACATTATGGGGATTACCATATTGTTTTCATGCTATCCAACAGCATATTTCAGCTTCCCTACCTTATCCTCTGGGTGTCCAGTCTGACTGAAATAAAGAGCATAGTGGTCATCACCTCTGATATAGAATCTATAAACATCAGAATCTGGAGCCACCAAAAATCCACTGAAGCGTGCAACAAATGTGTCTTGTTCCATGGGCCAAATATAGAAAGTTGAATCTACCCAGCTGGCGCCCATGTACCCAGGGGTGTGTTCATTGTAGTGAAGTATCTCTTCAAGATGTGCTGGCCGGCTGTTATTCCACATCTCGAGCTTTAGGCCTCTCCCACCTAAACATAATAGAATAAATGAAACTTCACTAGGATCATGATGCAGTGCCTCCACAGCCTTCTATTTGGTCATGGTAAAGAAGTTTTCTGTGTGTACAAACAAAACAATTTCACATACCTCTACATGTTCCTGAGCCTAGAGTCAGAGCGTTCTCAGGCCATCTACAATTTATTTACTATTACTTGATTTCCCTGAGCTGCAATTGTGATTCACATTAAATGTAATAACACTTTTGCTTGGTTTCTATGTGGATGACAAGCACTGTGCATGTAAAATGTTTGGCATTTAATGACTGCTCTAGGTAGGATGACAACACATAATTGTACAATGTTGCCTATGATATGATAGATGCTTTATATAGTGAAGTTACAAAACTTCAAATTTTAAATGATTTGGTTATAATATCCTTGCCTTGATTATTCTATCTAACCAAAGTTATTTACTAATGGGCTTACAAAGCAAATATTCAAAGAACAGACACAGACATTGTTGCTTTAATATTTTCTCTCAATATATATTTTTCTTTGTTTTTTTTTTCTTTTTCCTTTAAACACTGATTCTATGCTAGGACTTCATCTCCTTGGATAGAATCAAAGAGAGAATGTCCTCAATTAGGTGTAGCTATACTTGCTGTATACTCTGTGATTAATCTTTTTTCTAATCAGAAAGGAATTGTCAAATTATTTGTCCTCTTTTTTCCTAAAGTGTAACACCATTAAGCTATGTCTTCCTTCAGTAGTCTTAAGTTTGTTTGTACCTGGAAACTAGCAACTAATCTTCTTCATCTGAATTTTCTTAGCAAAAAGCTTGAGCAACTCAACCTTTTATAGCACCAGTGTTCCCTGATACATGTCCATAACTTTTTCTAAATTCATCAATTATTAATATCAAAACTATTGTGTAAAACTGGAAACTTTTTACTAGCATTCAAACAAAGAAATGAAAGGTTAGAAATAAGAATGTATTATACTCCAAATACCAATGACACAGTTATGAATAGATTGCACAGTGAAGATGTGAGATCTACACTACACGCAAACATTTCAAAGGATGCATAGTGTACAGGATGGCCATGCACTGCAATTTCATTGGGTTTAAAAGAGAACGTCTGAAAAGAACTTTGAGTTACATGTCTTTCGTTTACTTTTACTCCCATATCATTCTAGACCAATAAGAATTTAATCTACCCCATTTATATTTTTCAAGCAGGAAAAAGTTTTTTTATTATTTTTATTTTACGTGTATGCGCGTATTGCCTGCATGTAGGTAAGTGTACCTGTGTCATGCAATGACCGTGGAGGACAGAAGAGGCTGTCAGATCCCCTGGAACTGGAGTTATGGACAGCTGTTAGCTGCCATGTGGGTGCTGGGATTCAAACCCGGGTCTTCTGCAAGAACAGTCAGTGTTCTTAACCACTGAGCCATCTCTCCAGCCCCAGGAAAACGTATTTTTTAAATGCTCACATTAACTTTGCCAAGTTTTAGTAATCATGATTTAAATATGTGTGCCATTGCATTCTTTTTTGTAGAGAAATGCTATTTTTCAAAAAGGTACCAGAATTTAGGCTCTGGTTGTCTCTGCTGGTACAGTATTGATGCAACTGTTTTAATACAAACATGCCCAGTTGGCAGAGTCTTTGCTGCACAAATATCTCCTAACTCGGAAAACCTCAAAACTATGAGGAAATTTGTTAAAATTCTTTTTAAATTGTTTTATTATTTATTTTTATTTTACGTGTGAGTGTTTTGCCTGCATGTATGTAAGTATACCATGTGAATGCAATACCTGCAGAGGCCAGAAGAGGACACAGAAACTCCTGGCACTGGAATTACAGATAGTTAGCCACCATGTAGGTGTTGGGAACTGGATTGTCTGCAAGAGTAGCCAGTGCTTTTAACCACTGAGCCATCTCTCTAGTCCCTGTCAAAATTCTTACTACAGATCCTATGGTGTTGAAACAATATTCTTTACAAAGAATATATGTCAATAATAATTTTCTCTACAAATATAGATTGACCATTCTCATTCATGGTAACTTACCTGGATACACAGTTTTGAGAATCTGGGGTTTGGGAGGTGTCTTGCAGTGTATACTATTTTCTGTGACATCCAAAATATCACAGGCTTGACCTATACCAAAATAAAATGCAGAACAGTTACAAAAGAAGCTTTAGAATGCAAATAGCCTCAGGCTGTCTTGAAATGCCTTTTTAAATTAGAACATTTAAATTAAAGCATTGCACAAGCAAGTGATAAAATTGGGGCTTTTACTCCTTTATACAGCTTCCAGTAAGGCTTATCAAAGTCACTAGCTTTCTTACTTCCACAAAGGAAAATTACTTCCCGGCAAGATACCACAAGTCTAAGATAGAAAGTTTCTTAATTTTTGACAAAAATATGAAAAAAAGATAAAACTACATATAATTATAAAACATGTCACTTCTGTGTTCAAAGTGAAGTCTGTTCTGTTAAGTGAAAGTTGTTGAGTAAAACATGCAGGATGTTCAGAAAGGTGAAGGCAGAGGATTCCTCACCCTTTTTGGTAAAAAAAATTAGTGTCTTACATACCTTGATATCTATACTAATTGGGTCAGAGGGATTCAAAGGACACTTTTTGCTCCTTGCCCTCCTGGGTCGATTAGTTCCCAGGGACTATGAGCATCGCACAAAATATCCTGTAATGGTGGTGGGTCATCTGGCCTCTTGATCAAGGAAGCTGAGGAGACCCCACCAGATGGACTTGAACCAGTGTCCAGTCTATAAAGAGGAGGGTCAACA